AGGGTCTCCTGCTTGAGCAAGGGGGTTGGACTAGATGACCTCGGAGGTCCGTTCTGTTTATAATTCTGTAAGAGTCTCCTGCTTGAGCAAGGGACTGGACTAGATGACCTCCGAGTTCCTTTCTGTTCTATGATTCTGAATGGGTCTCCTGCTTGAGCAGGGGGTGAACTAGATGTCCTCCAGGGTCCCTTCTGTTGTTTTGTGATTCTGAACGGGTCTCCTGCTTGAGCAGGGGGTTGGACTAGATGATGTCCGGGGTCCCTTCCAGCTCTGTTGTCCTGCTTGGGCGGGGATTGGACTAGATGACCTCCAGGGTCCCTTCTGTTGTTCTGTGATTCTGTAAGGGTCTCCTGCTTGAGCAGGGGGTGAACTAGATGACCTCCAGGGCCCCTTCTGTTGTTATGTGATTCTGTAAGGGTCTCCTGCTTGAGCAGGGGGTGAACTAGATGACCTCCAGGGTCCCTTCTGTTCTGTGATTCTTTAAGGGTCTCCTGTTTGAGCAGGGGGCTGGACTAGATGACCTCCAGGGTCCCTTCTGTTCTGTGATTCTTTAAGGGTCTCCTGTTTGAGCAGGGGGTTGGACTAGATGACCTCGGAGGTCCCTTCCAACTCTTGTTCTTTTGTAAGGGTCTCCTGCTTGAGCAGGGGGTGAACTAGATGACTTCCAGGGTCCCTTCTGTTGTTCTATGATTGTTTAAGGGTGTCCTGCTTGAGCAGGGGGCTGGACTAGATGACCTCCGAGTTCCCTACTGTTGTATGATTCTGAATGGGTCTCCTGCTTGAGCAAGGGGGGGGGGACTAGATGACTTCTGGGGTCCTTTCCGGCTCTATTATCCTGTAAGGGTCTCCTCCTTGAGCAGGGGGCTGGACTAGATGACCTCCGGGGTCCCTTCTGTTGTTCTATGATTCTTTAAGGGTCTCCTGCTTGAGCAGGGGGCTGGACTAGATGACCTCCGGGATCGTTTTCAACTTTTGTTATCCTGTAAGGGACTCCTGCTTGGGCAGGGATTGGACTAGATGACCTCCAGGGTCCCTTCCAACTCTTATTCTATGATTCTGTAAGGGTCTCCTGCTTGAGCAGGGGGCTGGACTAGATGTCCTCCATGGTCCTTTCTGTCGTTCTGTGACACTGTAAGGGTCTCCTCCTTGAGCAGGGGGTTGGACTTGATGACCTCCGAGGTCCCTTCCACCTCTGTCATTGCGTCTTCTCAATGGGAACTCCCGGTGCGTGTGGGGAGGGGAGGGCATCTGAATCGGGGGAAGGATCCCGGTTCCTGGGAAAAAACCCCCCTTCCCTTTGTGGCCAATTGTTGCCCCAAGTTGTTGAGGTGTGTGTGTGTGTGGGATATTGTGTCGCCGTCTCGGTTGTGTATGCGCCTGTTCACCGCGTTGCCTTTGCTTTTGTCTTCCAGAGTTTTAGAGAGAGCTGCAGGCACCTCCGGAGTTCTTCAAGGGAGGGGTTGTGTGTGTGTGTTGTGTGGTTGTGTGTGTTGTGGGTTCCGGGCCCCATGGCGCTGAGCCGGGAGCCCACGGGGGACTACCACCCCTTGCCGGAGTACGAAGACGACGACTCCCCCCCGGAGGACGAGCAGCAACTGTTGGTCCACGTCACGGAGGGGCTCAAAGGTAGGCCTGGATTTTTGGGGGGGGGGCAAAAGTGGGGGGGTCACCCCAAAAGTGGGGAAGGGTCCTTGCACCCCAATTTGTATCTTTTCTCCATCTCTCCCCCCCCCCCCC